AGCCGCTATTTCCTTGAAGTAGTTCCACAGTTATCCTCTCGAGGCTGAGTGGACCCCATTCCAGACCCCCAACTTCTCAAAAAAAATCTGGTAGCTTCGGGAATNGCTTCGGGAAATGAACCCTGGACCTCTGACCCTGTAGCTAGGAACTTTGACCGCTAGACCACAGAGGCGGTCATTTTTCACTAAAGAGGATGAAAATATTCCGAGTCGAAGCTTAGAGAACTCTAGATAAAATAAAATACATTACCATTCCGTGGAAACTGTAGAACAAGGGGAAAAGTGTCTAGTGCATTAGGCTGACTTGGGATTACAGTCGGCTATATTATCAATCATCAGTTCTGTTAAACTACACTGAAAATAACTTTATTTCACAGGTAAGAAGATAAACTTGCCATTCTGTTCAGTTAATTAAAAAGTACGACATGAACAGAAACTGGGGGAGTGGAGGTATAGACCCACCCTTCCTGACCTCTGAACTAGATGGAGGCATGTACAGTTTCACGCCCCGCTCGCTTTTAGTCNGTCCAGGGAAAGAGCCCCTGCTACTCATTGGATAGGAGGCTGGTTTGGGCCCAGAGACGGTCTGGACGCTATGAAGAAGAAAACGAGAGGTAATGGGAAAAACTAATAACCTACTTTCCATGCACTACACATTCAACATTTCATACTGTAAGGATGGCATAGTAAACATAGCATCCAACAGATTTTCTATTGTTGCGTGTGAGCCGTTACCTAGTGACGGTCGTATCTTCTAGCTCCACTATTCAGGCTTGTTGGGTTGACAGAGAACAGGATAATTTCATATGCCTACGTTTATTTTTTTTAAATAGGGAAAGTAGGTTAAAAATCTCTTGGCACTAACGAGACTCGAACCCCTGTATTCCAGTTCGTAGGCCGTCGCTATACCTACTGATACAATTTCCAGTTACAAGCTTCTAAAATTTATCTGCAATAAGACGTATTATATAAATTAGTAAATGGTTACACTGAACAATTTATAACTTAACAAATGATATTCGATCAATCCCCAAATTGCCACTAAGAAACTTAAAGGAAATTTCAATTGAAATTTTGAATGGAGAAGATTTCGAAGTCAACTTGGAAACAAGGGTCTACACGAAATTATAATGATAATGCTAATATTATAATAAACCTTCAATTTCCTTAAAAGACAAGGACTATCTTGTAAGATTTGAGGTTTCCACGGCGGAGACTATAAAGATAACAGTCTTCTGGGACATGCCATCTTGTAGATGTTGCGTTAACCGACGTTTCGGAGGAACATATTTCCTCCATCTTCAAGGTAGAAGAAAAAAGAAAAAGTCCGCAAGCGAAGAACCAGCTCACGCTTCTGTATTACCAGGAGATGAATCCTGTATCTAGCTTGCAAATCTCTGAAAGCCATCAGTGTTCTGTTCTGCCCAGAAGAAAGACGCAGAAGCTCAGGACTGTAATCTGCTGGTTGTCTATCCATCACTGGATCGTATTTCCTAGAGCAATGGTTTCTCTCTCATGCCACAGTAACCCGCTGTCTCTCTGTGTCCTTCTATATCATTGCCAGCCATGACACATTGCAGCTTTATGAGACTGAGTTTCTTTTAGAGCTATTTGACTTGTCCCCGGAGCTCATCCTTTCTGCTCCCATCTTTTCTTCAGCACTTTGTTTTCTCATCTTCTTTCCCCCAGTTCCCTCAGTCGATGTGTTTCGGATGAAATGATGTAGATATTGGAAGTCACTGACAAGTCAGAGCCAATACACTGAAACTGGACCCGCAAGTATTATTGGCCTCTCTGCAAGTGAAACAGCTCTTAAGGTTCGGCCACACAGAGCGCTACGCTATGTTCGCTACGTACGCTACGTACGATGTGTACACTCTGCGACGCAGCTAACATAGGGAACATAGAGTACGTAGCGCACGGAAGTCTGTGTGGCCAGTCACATTGGCAATAACGGGAGATATTTTTCTGTTCGTATAGCGAACATAGCGTACGTAGCGTGCCTCACGCACGTGGCCCTCTGTGTGGCCTAACATTTAGCGAGGTCCTGACACGTTTGTGCTGGCACACATATACTTAAAAAGCAGAGTTATTTATACTTCAAATGTTGACGTTTATTTCAATAGTGTTCTTCTTTCATTATTGTGGTACTAGCACGGACTGTGAATTAATTCAATAATAAAGTTATAAAGTTTGCACTGTGCCTAATTACTACGCTACAGAAAACATAGATGTCGTTGTCGTATAGCTCCAAGCCTTCCAAATTTTGGGGATGGATGAAGGTGATTGGTCAAAGCAAAACTCTTGTACCTAGACCCTTTCAGTGTCTATTCATTAGGAGGATTACATGGTAGGACTCATTCGTGGCCTGGCAAGCATTTCCCTGGAATTCGCCTGAACTACTGAGGTAAATCATGGAAAAAATTCGAGATATTCTGTGTGTGAGCCCAGATTCGCTTTATACAGCTCCAAATATCAGACGCTTTAGTGTTTCAGGTCGCGGTTGTTCCATTTTGTTCCCCTGGCTCGAGAAGCCAAGAGTGTGACATGTGTAGTTATGCAGACAGTCGCGCAGAAGAGGCTAGCAGCAGATTGCCCCAAAGCTGGTAACTACGTAGCTACATGACTATATTGTTCACACCAAGAATGCCACACGTTAAAAGTGTTACAAACAAATCAGATGTTAGTTTGAACTCTGTAGGTAAGCAAAAAAGGAAAGGTATCCCTGTAACAGGCCGTGGAGGCCAATAGGGTTGTGAGATGTTGAGTTTCCCACATTTTCTAGACAATCGGCTCATAGATGGCGGTAAAGTTGTCAGCCTCACGCGCCGGCCGCCCTTTAACCCCAAGAACATTCAAAGAATATTCATGGTACTCATTTCTGTTAGAGGCTGAGTCGACCCCAGGGCCATAGTGCGGCTGGAAGGATTACGTAAATTGAAAAAATCCAATGACCTCATCGGGACTTGATCCCGCGACCTTCCGGCTTGTAGCATAGTGTCTCAACCAACTACGCTACCGCGTGCCCCTGTTTGAACTGTGTATGTGGAGAAAACTGATGTATCTTGATTCACGTAAGATAAGATGAGCTGCCATTCTAGAAATGCATATTCTGTTATATCTTGGTTCCTGAGAATTGCACAGGATTCTGTTTTAGGGCCCACAGTACTGGGAGTCGTGTCTATTCGTGAGTCAGCGTCAGCTCGTTGTGCCTCTACAATTAAATGAAATTTGGTATTGTGTGCACACACTCTTATTTTTAATGTAATTTTGACGGATATTGATCAGTTATCATTCTTCATATGAGGATGAAATTGGAAATCTATTCATTAAAATAGAAAACCTTACCACAAAATATACGTGTACATGACACAAAATATACGCATTTGTTTTCTTAAGTGTTTACTTCATTGTGCTGGCTAATCCTTAAAAACAAGCAAGGGAATTGAAACTTGACGTCATTGTCTTATCGTTGGTGTGTCTGATCTTCGTCAGTAGACCTGTAGCTACAACAAATGAACACGATGGCCGAATAAGGGTGCTTAAAGACAAAGGACGCATTTAGAAAGTATGCGTAAAAGTAAAGCTCTCCCTCTAACACGCCGTGAAGGCCATAAATTTGTGACACGTCGAGGGTCCCACATTTTATAGAAAATCGACTCACAGATGGCCGTAAGGTTTTCAGCTTTACACACCGGCCACTCTTTCCCCCAAAGGAGGATTCATGGTACTAATTTCTGTTAGAAGCTGAGTGGAACCCAGTGTCATATTGCAGTTGGAAGGAATAATTAAGTTGAAAAATTTAACGACATCAACTGGGATCGAACCTGCGCCCTCCGGCTTGTAGCGTAGTGCTTCAACCAACTACGCTACCGCGTGCCCCGGGAAAATGTGCGTACATCATGTAATTTATCTGACTATATTTGATTCCATTTATTAATCCTAGTACTATTAGTGGTAATAGCAGTAACACCTGCCTGTTTGTGACCAGTGGTTAATGAAGTCACTGTTGAAGCTGACGTTACTGATTTAGTGTGGATGACGTCCTGCATTTTTGCACACAATTATGATAATGAGCTATCTGAGTATGATATAGCAAGCTGAGGAGAAGCTGACGTAATGACATGAGAGGCTGACATCAGCAGAGCCGCGAGATATGCTACGTGCTACCTGAAGCTGAAGGGATGCAGGCAAACGGCATGTAACAGGGGACATACGTAACTAAGCGGAGCCCGAGCAAGTAAAGAAACTAAAAGTTATGGCTTTGGTTTGGGCTTAATTGGCGTGATTTTCATATCTACTTTCGTGAAAATCGGTTAATTGCTTCAAAAGTTGAAATGGGGAGTAACCCAAATACATATACACAAACACACAAATATAATACATGGTGATCACATAAGCTCACTTATTTTGTTAAGGAATAAAACAGGCTAAAACCTTGTATGGGCATGTACTGTCTTCGCTCGCTTAGAAACCGGGATCGTGGGTTCAAATCCCACTCAGGGCATTGATGTTTAGTTTGTGTGTGTGTTTTTTTCTGTGTTTTTGTACAGGTACAGGCCTTGCGACGAGCTGATCACCCGCCCAAGGAGTCCTATCGAACGTGTAAGATCTAGAAAAAAACAGAAGTGAACTGAGAAGTTCAAGGAGATATGCCTAGGCCCACTGGGGCTGTAGTGCCAAAGGAAAAAAAAAACTTGTTTGATGATAAGCAATTTGACAGTGCACATCTTTACGAACGGAAAGTACGGACTGCAAGAGTACAAATACACGTACATTAATACTCAATTTAGAGAGACAAGCAGAAGAAGCAGAAGAATAATGAAAGTTTCGTTCCATTTGAGAGGTCATTATGAATTAATCGTCCACGAAGATTACAAGACGGTATTACAAGAGAAAACAGATTAGTTCACTAAATTATTAAAAACTCATTTCTTTGGAGAAGAGATTTCAGATGGAGAAAAATCTGAGAGAGACAAACGTAACGTTTCAGTACTTACGTTCTGAGTGACGTGATGAATGGTTTAGCAATGTTCCTGGTTCCTGAAAAGTGAAAAGCAAATAAGTACAACCTGACAACATGTCATGAATAAATGTACTGAGTCGTCTGGATAAACCAGATCTCTGGCGATAGACAGTGAAGTTTCAGAAGCACTAGAAGCTTTCAGAAGCCTGCCCCGGGTGATTATGTTGATGGATAATTTGGTGGAATGAAGATTGGCAGGGGAAACCGAAGTACTCGGAGAAAACTGGCCCCAGCGCCACTTTGTCCACCACAAATGCCACTTGACCAGACCCGGGATCGAACCCGGACCACCGCAGTGGGAAGCCAGCGACTAACCGCTTGAGCTATGGCGCGGCCTTTCAGAACCACTAACACCACAGCATGACACAGGATACGATCTTCATCCAATTGCATCTGGCCGCAAACCCACAACTTCAGTCCTTCAGATTTGTTTTCAAGCCAATTGCCAATCTCCTACTTAGTCTTCTAAGTGGCTGCTTTCTGAGATGTATCCCCGAAAATTCTCTACTTTGTGCTTCAGTAAATTGACAGCATGTCCTTAGAAAGTCTATCCAGGTTCCTAGACTTAATACAATTTTATGTTACAGAAAACTTTGCGGAAAAGGGTTGTTAATCTACGCCATTATCAAAAGGTAGGGACGGACGGTAGCACAGTTATTTGAGGCAATATGCTACAAGCCGGAAGGTAGCGGGTTCGATTCACGATGATGTAATTTTATTTTTCAATTCACCTAATACTTCCAGCCGCACTATGGCCTTGTGATCGACTCAACCTGTGACAGAAATGAGTAGCATGAATATTAATGTGGTGGGGGGGGGTAAAAGGAGGCCTGAGCGTAAGGCTGACAACCTTACCGCCATCTGTGAGCCGATTTTCTATAAAATTTGGAAACCTCGAAGTTTCACAATCCTATGGGTCTTCACGGCGTGTTACAGGGATAGCTTTGCCTTTCTTTTAACCTAATACGCAAGGTATCCGCGAATGTTCGTTTAGTACATTGGCACCAATCTTTGTTATATGGAGACCGCTTTCTCTTTCCGCAACTTAAGAAAAGGCAATGCTTTGGGGACGAAGGGTCCTATTTTAGGTGGGAAATCTCTTTCAGAACTTCTGTTTAGAAGACTAAAGTGGGGGGGGGGGGATGATAACATTAAGTTAGATCTTAGAAACATAAGTTGATAGGATGAGAAATGGAGATGGTTGGCTCAGGGCTGTATACAACGTTGGTAGGGTCTACTAGCGGTTTGCATTTCAGTTTACGCTGTTCTAGTGTCAGTGGACCTACCTACGTCCTGGCAAAACTATTATTTCCTTCAAAATTTCTCTTCTTTTTCACAATTTGTACGACGTAGTTTTGCATAAAATGAAAGGATAATGGAGAGATTAGGTCACCTCATATTCGCTCCTACTTATTACTTTAAAATTACCAAACGTTGTCTGCATTATATGCCGCCGGGAAAATCTGAATTTGACCAGCATCACATTAGCATAAACCTTAATTTACATGAAACTGAGAGGGAACTTAGCCGTATTTCTCCACAACGGATCACCTTAATGAACACAGACTATCGGATAAATGATGTCATTCTCACGATTGTGTTCTTAAGGGCCTTATGCACTGATGTAGAGTTACTGGACACCATCTTCAGTATCATTTAAAAGTGTAGATATTATTTTAAACTTGTTTCGGTAAAGATCTGAAAGATGTTTGGATGTGGCATTCTCAGAGAGATGATTATCAAGAGTTCTGCAGCGTTAGATGCAACGTCAGGTACTCCAACGTTTCAGATAAACTAATTTCCTCCATCTTCAGAGTTGAAAAAATTATAAATAGCAAGAAGCTGAGCTTCTAATGGGGAGACAATTTGCAGCTCTAACGAAAGTTCGTTGCTTATTTATAGTAACAATGGAATTGTACTTGTAATTAACGAGAACTCAATACAAACGAAGTATGAAAACCTCTAACAGCGTAAATGAGAAGGCTGCAAGTTTGGAATTGGCATTACCACTCCTGTATGGTTTCCTCGCTTTTAATGGGGCTACATTCCGTTCTGTAAGAAATTAAATCTAAGTCGACCACGCGGTCACTTTCTCGAAACCACAGGAATCTCAGCAAAGTAAAATGGAACGTACTGAGGCGTCTCACTAGGGACTCTTATCAGTGGGGACTGAAGCTCTGATGTGAGTTTCGAGCAAGGGAAATATATCACTAGTGAGGCTTACAGACAACAGAACTCAATTGCGTTCGTCGCTATTAGTGTTAAACATAATTTTAAACCGTATAATTTATGTAGCGCCGGAAATGATAAATTGGAAACTTCATGGTCGTGGCCCATTTAAAGTTAGTACCACACTTTCTGACTGGAGAGACGGAGGAAAACTCATAAAATCAACCGGCCTTAAGGTACGTATTTGAACCTGGGTTATAATCTAAGTATTATCCCAACATTTACGTGTATGGACTGAGAATAACCACAGGCAGTGTTGTGGCCAGGATTCGAACAGAGTATCTCCTGAGTAGAAGTCTAGAACATTACCACTGCATGGTACTGTCCAGTACTGAAGTGGTTGAAACGTTATGATGGGGCTACGTGTAACCAATATGGGTGGGGTGGGGGGAGCTAATTGCGGGAAGCTTCAGAGCGGAGAAAGTGCTCGTGGTTGTCAAGTGGTCGCTTAGCAGACGGGAGATAAGAGGGTAATATTTCAGAGGATCTCAGGTCACGAAGATGAAAGCTGGATCGATTTGGTATCGCGATTGCGTTCAGTGAAGGCTTCCGGCATTAGTGCTATCCGATATTGGGATTCTGCTCCCAGTGATGTAATGGCTACAGAATTATAATTCTAACCGTCGACGCAACAATACTTCATTAATTATTTATTTATATAGCACGCACTATATGCTTTGACCTCGAATGGGTCCTCTTCAGGTACTGCATGTTTCACACATACTACAGCAATAGAATTTGAGGATCTTGCAACACTTGAAGAGGACTCATTTGAGGTCGAAACATGTAGTGCGTGCTACATAAATAAATAAATAATAAAATATTTTTGTGTTGACAGTAAAAAATATATTTGTATATATGCAACAAGCCTGTCACGGTAGCCGAGCGGTCTAAGGCATGTACTGTCTTCGCTCGCTTGGAAACCGGGATCGTGGGTTCGAATCCCAATCAGGACATAGATGTTTAGTTTGTGTGTGTGCGTTTCTCTGTGTTTGTGTACAGGTAGAGGCCTTGCGAAGAGCTGATCACCCGCCCAAGGAGTCCTACCGAATGTGTAAGATCTAGAAAAACGGAAGTGAACCGAGAAGTTCATGGAGGTAGGCCTAGGCCCACTGGGACTGTAGTGCCAAGGAGAAAAATATGCAACAGGATGCATTCCTTAAATATAAAAAAATAGAAAATGCTGACAGTATTTTAAAAAAATATCAGCTCAACAGTGCTCTAATTATGTGTTAATTGTTTTTTTTTTAATTCGCTTAGTGGGGGCTGGAGTTCAACTGTGTTCACTTAGGACGGCGGCCACTGATTGGCCTATTGCACATTCCCCGGGTGATTATGATGATGGAAAATTTGGTGAAATGAAGATTGGCAGGGTAAACCGAAGTACTCAGAGAAAACCCGCCCAAGCGCCACTTTGCCGCGTTGGGAAGCCAGTGACTAATTGCTCGAGTTATGACGCGGCATAATTATGTGTTAGTCGACTATGTAAAATTTGATTAGTAAAGGCAATGTAATTCCTGTACAGGCTAGCAAGAGGATAAATAATTCATGACTTCAAATTTCGTTTTATGAAACCGTAAGATGTTGATCCGCACGTAAAGTACATTACATTGTTAATGGCTAGATTGGCCGTGCCACATACTTCCAAATTTGCGTTCTTTATATATTTGGCTTCAAAATGAAAAGGTTAAACAAAAAGATTTCTTTTACACCAATAGCCGGAATGAAGAAAGGTTCATAGTTGTTTTCACTAAGTTAATTTGACAACGCTGATCATCTTCGATTAGAAAGACAATTCTGAAAAATGTTAGGATGCATAATGAAAGACATAGTCAACGTCTAATTTAAAACACAAATCTAAATATTCATCACAGAAATTTAGGGAAACGTTGAAAGATCTCGATTTTGCATGTTTTGTTTACTAAAACGCTCTTCGGAAATCTCGTTGCTGTTTAATCGCCCCGTGAACCAGAAAGAGGCGAAACGTCGGTATTCTGAACCCTCTGTTCCACAATTGTCTGATAATGTGAACACATAACGGAGGTTGCGTTCACTGGGCCCTGGCCACAACAAAGGCATTAGAAAAACTGGAAAAGATCGTAGGACGAGAGAAAGCTATAAAAAGACGAGACCCAAAATAAATGAATATAACTCACGTGTAAAATGACGCGAAACGCTTTACTTTTTCCTTTCGAGTTGCTAATTTCATTCGTTCAGGGAAATTTATATTAAAGACTCCGATAGAAAAAAGTAGAAAGACTGGTGTTAAAATTCTCACAGAGAATGGATGATAACCTGGCTGCCCTGAGGGCCAGGGAGGGACTGCATTATGTTCAAACTATTCCCTACAATATAAGGGTTGTGACATATAGGGGTTAGAAGATTTAGGGTTAGGAATATGGAGACGAGAGATTGAATATTATAAAGGATTGTATGTAAGAGCATAATGTAGCCTGAATGGAATACACAAGACGAGGAGACTTGATCTAAACGTGTGTTTGTGTGTGTGCTTGCGTGGGAGAGTGAGTGAGAGAGAGAGAGAGGAAATACGGCAAGTACTCGCCCAAGGAAGAGAGTGGTAATTCCACCGGATTTTCTTATTTTACCGTACTTGCCGTTGGGAATCAGCTCGTACGTGATTTCAGCATTACCACAACAAGATCAGATTCTGAAGCAGAAATGCGGCCTTTCTCTGACTTCACGAGACGGAAATAGAAATGTGCGAGAGAGTTGTGTTTTCATTAACCAAGGATTCACAAGATGCTTACAACAATATTAATTTATGTTC